TGTCATCCCTAGGAGGACCTGCCATCACTGCCAAGATGACAGCATGCACAGCTGGATCTACAGCTAAGAGAAAACGCATGCAGACAGAGGACCTGCCATCACTGCTAGGACATTACTTGGTATCCAGACCACCTCTCACCACTAAGAGGGAAGTGTCTATGAACTAGGCCGGAGAAGGCAACGGAAAAGGCAAAGCCTATCTTCAGCATGTTTTTGTGCCTATCCAGAAGCACTAACTGGGATAACAAACAGAGCAGGCACTCACTCACATGCTGAGCCTACTTACCTCCACCATGGCTAAGCTTTCAGCACAGGCTTCCCATACACTGGAGGCCTATGTACTTGGCACAGCACAAGGCAGATACTGGTGAGCAAAGCAGGGTTGGGATAAATGAAAGCCACCTGCTGTTCTCTGAAATGGCCCAAATGATCGGAGTAAAGGGCCATGGCATATGGCTGCAACTTATTTTGAAATGGTTCAGCAGGGAGGTGGGGCACTTACATGTTTCAGTACACACCATATAAAAGGATACACAGGGTATTTGGCTTTTTCATAACTTTTCCATGATTTTGAAATCATTTTTTCTTTCATTCTTTTTTTTCAGGGTCTCATGTAGCCCAGCAGGTTTTGCACTTCTGATCCTCCTGCCTCTATGGCAAGGACTAAGATTACAGGTGTGCATCACCATGCCTAACTCTGAAAGGTTTCTTCTTCAAATGGAGGACAGCTAGTGAAGCTAGAAAGCATGTTTCACTATTCTCCAATCAAGAATGAAATTGTTAACTCAAATGTCAAATAAATGTTCTACTATAAAATGTCATGGGATGGTAGGCTCTAGAGGAAAACACGTGAAACTCAGAGGGGAGGGGGGAAAACACAACACATGGACATTTATCAAGGCCAGAGAGTTCCAACTGTCTAGCCATGTCTAAGCTTCTGTTCCTTCCACTTGTAATGACAATACCACTTATCACTGGCCAGCCCCTGTGCTACTCCCCTTGGAATTCTAGATTCCAGAGGTTAAAGAACCCAGAACTAGGAGCCAGACCACCCAAACTTCCATTCCAGCTGCAAAGCTAGTAGGGTGAGGCAAGCGAATTAAGGTCACTCACAGCTGGAGTAGCACAGCTAGAATACAAGGAAGACAGCTGCCAATCCTACTACATCCCAAGGTGGCCCAGGCCTCTCATAGGGACCTGCAACAGGCAGGAAGGGACTAGGATCCCTGAACTGTGTGGCCCCACTGAGAAGTTTTCTTAACTATAAATGCTGGAATCACACGGGAGAAAGCATGATTTTGTTTCCCACTGAGCACTTCAACAGTGTCAGCGTGAGCAATTAATGTTGCACTCCCTACACAGGTGGGGAAAAAAAGTTAGCAGTGGCTCTCATAGCCCTCCTGCCCCCTGTACCACCTCAGCTTCTTGTCATAACTTCTTCAAAAGTCCAACCCTCTTGCTCCCCAAATTGAGAGGCCTTAATGCATTGGCCAACCACAAAAAAAAAGGGGGGGGGTATTCAGAGCACAGTGCTAAAATGGCAAGAAGTTTGGTACCATCACTTTAAAGGACTCCTGAGACCCATCAGAAGACAAAGACAGCAGAGGTTTCATACCTGAAGTTAAAAAACGATTTATAAGCCAGGTGTAGTAGCACATGGCTTTAATCCCAGCACTCGGGAGGCAGAGGCAGGCGGATCTCTGAGTCTGAGGCCAGCCTGGTCTACTGAGCCTGGTCCAGGACAGCCAGAGTTACAGAAAGAAACCCTGTCTCGAAAAACCAACCAACCAACTTTATGCCTAACAGGTCTTTCTGAGGCCCAAAGTGGACATAAACAGCCAGGATGAACAAGAATCTAAACAGAGGTACATAATGAACAAAGCAGTCAGGCTCCTAGTATTAAAACCTCACCTGGGTCACTTAGCTTTATAAGGTTCTCTGGTTTAGTTTCTCTGCCTATAAAATTGGGATAGTAACAGTTCCAGAGACCACTAAAGTTAACACAAACATTAATGTTTAAAACAGTATCTGACATGTAACATCTTCAAACAACTAAGATCATTTTAGAAGAAATATGTGTGCTGGCTGGAGGGATAGCTCAGAGTGCTTGCCTAGCATGCACAAAGCTCTGGATTTCATTACCAGCACTATAAAGAAGTTTGGACAAGTCAAGTCCTGCTCCACACACCGCCTCCCCACCTATTTCTGAAAGGCCTAGCCTGCGCCAAAGAAGAAACCCATAATGCCTTGGCTCTTCCTCACAAGTAACACTGGGCAGGAGCAAGAGGAAACCCTCTGCCTCCCTCCTAAGAGAACTACTATCCTCTTCACATTCATATATGGTTCAGACCTAGAACCTTGACAGAAAGCAAACAAATCTAGACCTTCGTCTTGCAAAACCAGCTAGAAAGACACTGCCCAGCACTCCCAGGACAGGCAGGAGGAACTTGTCGAGACACAATAGCAAACAAGAAAAAAAATTGGCCCAGCAATCCCTGGCTTTGCTGCCCATGTCAGGGGGGTACATTAGTAGTGTTATTGTTTTGTTTAAAAAGAAGAAAAGAGAAATATTGAGACAGACATAAGACTATAAGTTTATTATAAGGCGCGGCAGAATGGGTAGACTAAGAAGAGGAAAAGGGGTAAATGGCTGACCACCATGGCCAGTCGCCATAGAGAGACAGAGCAGGAAACAGAGAGACGGGAGAGCACACACACACACACACACACACACAGAGAGAGAGAGAGAGAGAGAGAGAGAGAGAGAGAGAGAGCGCATAAAGGGGCAGGGGCCTATCTTTTAAAGGGGTCCTCTGCACCTGCGTGCAGACTTCTTTCCCATGGAACCTTGGACTGACCAGGGTATTGCCTGAATGGATTCCACCAGGTAACAGGGGCAGGCCAGCATAATGCCTGAACCTTTCAAGTAGTCTTAGGGTTTTACCAGAAAACAACACTGGGGGCTGCAGCCAAATTCTAGCCTAGAAAGCCATAGATTCAAGATCACATTATTCCCTCTACTGGAGCCTCTACTACTAACATGTCCCATTCAGACTGTATGAGGGTTCCCCATGAGACACTCCCTTGCTGCATATGTACAAATGGATGGATGGCCTCTGGGCTCATGCTCAGGGATACTCAACACACAGGAATATGCTGAAGAACTCACACTTGCTCTCTTCTTCAATACTTCTAGAGAGTGGGCTGTGTTCTCTACAGTTCATTATCTCTAGTGACAAGCAGGCAGCAAGAACTCACATATTCTTTCTGAACTGCTCCCAGCTGAAAGGTTATATGAACAGACCATCAGGGGGAAAAAGGTATGGAACACCAATTGCCTCTGTGATCTAGACAGATATTGGTCCTGGGACAGAAGGCAGCAGGCAGGCCAAGCAGGTGTGGCACAATTTCCATACCTAGAGGCCTCATCTGCAAAACTGGGACCCGGGAAACAGAACAGGATTGCAAGTCACTCTATTCAGATGTATACAATTTTACCAAGATTTCAATCACAAGAACCATATCCATCCCAGCACTCTGGAGTCGAGGCAGAGGCAGGAGGATCTCTGTAAGTTCAAGACCAGCCTGTTCTATACACACACACACACACACACACACACACACACACACACACACACACACACACACACGAACCATATTCAGCTGCTTTAGTCAGCAGAGAGAGCAGCTGGCTGTCCTGAGTTCCTCTCATAGAGCCCTGGGGAAGCACTTTCTTCAGCTCAGTGTTGGTCTAGGGTCTTGGTCATGGGGGCTCAGGCAGACATTTCCATATGTGACAAAGGTACAAAGCCAAGCACTGCAATATGTTACAGGATGGGAGCTAGGCCAGGATACTGCTGCAGGTGCACCCATCTGCTGTGACACCCAGTCATTTTGTCACTCATAGAAGACTTGCCTAGGGTGTTCCTTCATGGGAACCATCCTTCACTAAAAACATTAAGAACGCTACTTGTCTCTGCACTGGTACAGAGAAAAGTCTAAAACACAAAATACATATATTAAAGCATCTCTTTCACCTAAAAGTTCAAAGACACCCCTGCCATTTACAAAACTTTATGGCAGATCCCTAAAGTGACAGTGAGGCTGTACAGGAACTCATGTGCCTGATGGATAAATCAACCCTGCTTTGGAGAGTGGGGAGCAGTTAGGTTTTCTTAACCCAGTTCACGAGTATCAGAAACAGGTAGAAAAAGGGACCTGAGGTTCCCCACCACACACAAAACTCCAAGGGAGTACCTAAAGTATTTAATCACACCACACAAACAAAGCACTAAGTGCCGGGCACCGGTGAGAGGACTCTGTCCCCTGCACACGAGGTTTGGTTTACTCCCAGTACCTCCTTTGAGCCAAGCTAGACTTCTGTGATGCAGCGTTTCATTACGAGGCAATAAGCCACCAGCCATCGCTGTCCAAAGCTGAAACACTGGCACAAAGCCACACTTGAGCGGACAGTTGGGACACCAGGTGCCTCCACAAGCAGCTCCCAGCCCCCTGATTTCCACTCAGCCCAGAAGCAGCTCCTGGCCAGTGGCTCCCAGAGCGCGCGGCGCTGGACGGACGTGGGTCCAAAGGCGACATCCTCGAGGCTC